GCGTTGGGCAAAGAGACCGCGGTCCGGGGGCGGGGTCCGGCGCCCGCGCCGACGGGTCCCTGCCCGGGACAAACAGGCTCCCGGCTCGGGGACAAGCCGCCCGCGAACAGTTGGGGGTGTACGTGGATGCGTGCGGGGGTGTGTGCCGGGTGTGCACACTCATGCGCGGATGTTACCAGATGTTTAAAGGCGGACAGAGGCACACCCGTATGTGTATGTACAGCCTGTGTGTATATATATGTGTGCTTCTACTCGAACAAGCTTTGTCAAACGAACTATGTTATGTCAGCAATGAGCAGACTTATTTCTTACGTTGCCTGAAGCTTTCCTTTAAAAACTCTGGTTCCAAAGGCAGGTGTAGGCTCTGCTTTATAAACTCTTACATTTTACAAGGATAAGTGTTATTAAACATTTCTATTACAGCAGTTCCTCTGCTCCGTTATTTTTTTCAATACCACTGGCTGTTACCATGCTTTCTTCATGTACCAGCTCTTGCTACCTAGCTAAAGCTGGATGGTTTCTCTTTTTAACTCCTCTCTGCTCCCCGACACAGAATGTACCTAAAATAATAACATTCATATGAATTAAAGTGTATAGTTTTATTTTGCCTACCTCTTGTGCACATCTTTCTATTCCTTTAAAATGCAAGCATTATTTGTGCTTAAATATATTTTTAAAGTCCATCTGTATAACTATGGTCATAACAATAAAAAATATTTTCCAGAATAAGAAACTCTGCACAGATGTGCACACAATGCTTGCATAACCAGTTTATTACTGGGTATGTTGCATCTAGACAACCTTTCTCATGCCTGGACAGCACATCCAAATTGCTGCTGTATTATGGTAGCTCAAAGAATATGTGGAAAATAAATAAAAGGCTGAATCCATGATGATAGATATTTAGCAAATTATGACTAACTGGGGACTGCAAAAGAACACCAGGTGAAAGGAATGAAGCCTTCCAAGGCATGTTAGCACCTTCTTGCCATGCAAAGGCTGAGTAATTTGCTTGCAATGAGACACAAAAATTGTTCCTGCCTTCCCAATACATTTTTGCTTAAAAAACCCTTTTGCTCAGGGAAAAAAAATAGACACCATAGCAGTGAAGCAAAGGGAAGATTTCATGTCATGCATTCCAATGAAAACTGAAGGACCTCAGGGGTCAGCATAAAAACTCCACAGTACACCACTTGCTCCCTCACACTTTGCCAGCATTTTTCTCAGCCCTTTCACCTTTACAGTAGTGTGGGTTGGGTGTTGGTCCTAGGAAGCTGCACAGCGAGTCCAACTCATGGGGGACTGAAAGAAGGGGACTTTCATCTGTCCATATCCAGTGTAAGTCCTCTGTGCATTACCTACTCAGCACAAAATCGATTACATCTATTTTGGGCTGATTCATCAGTTTGCTCTGGCTATTTTGACCTGTGGACAAGAGTATTTTCTATCAGCTACAACTCATCACATCCCTTAGGCAAGTGATCCAACAGGGACAGACAGCTCCACACCATGCTGACATTGCCACCACATCATGGCTAAGAACGTAGATACCAAAGCGAGGGCAGTCAATGTTCAGCTCCTGCAGCAAGCACAACTCAGCCACACTCCTCAGAGAGCTCAGCTTAAAGCCTAGTGGCTTGTAGAATAGTAACTGCTCGAGACATGGAGGGAAGTCAAGGTCTGTTTCTGTATGAAACCTATCACTTCATTACCTAACACGTTGAGAGTTGCTTAACTGAAAGAACTTTGTATGAGCAGAAAGTTTGGATTTATTGCTTAATTCTCCATCTTTAGTTAGGAAAAAAATGTTGGCTGTTTTTAGAGAGCATGTGCCAAATGAGCTGAAATCAATGGAGCTGCTCCAGGGGTGAATTTCGTGTTGGACTTTCAAAGAAAAACTGCAGAAATCACAAGACTGCTTGAGGCAGAGACCTCATGCAAGTCATATGAACTGTTATTACAGACCGAGGGATGAGGAGGAGCAAAGGAGAAAAAAAAGAGATACATTTTAATTGCATCAGGACAACAACACAGGAGACGCGTGTAAGTGCTGTCAGACCAGGAAGCTGCAGCTGCTGTTCAGAGAGAAGGGGCTCCCAACATACCCAGGGCCTTCCGCACACAGAAGCAACGTCTCCAGCAGAGGTATTTAATATCACACCGTGCATCAAGATAGGTTAAGCCTGGGTTCTTCCACTTGTGGGAGTACAAAACATTCTTCAAGGCCAGGCTGGATGAGGCTTTGAGCAACCTGGTCTAGTGGGAGGTGTCCCTGCCCATGGCAGGGGGGCTGGAATTCGATGATCTTTAAGGTCCCTTCCAACCCAAACCATTCTGTGATTCTAACCAGACAGCACCAAACTTTGCAGCTTCAGGCTTGTGAAGCTACTGAAGAGGACTCCATGCCCTAGGTGACAATAAATGCCTCTGATGTGATGAACAGGGAGAAGATTGCACTCCAGCGAGCTCTGTGCCGATGAGGGACTGTAAAACAGGGAAGGAGCCAACAACCTACAGATGTGGAGGAGGCAGCATGCCATAGATTACAAATCCTGTTATATTTTAGTCAAGTGATAATGCAGGCACACATCCAATGTAGCTGCTCAGGAGGAGCTTGCAGGCTGCCTGCCATTCATTACCACTATTTTTATAGTTTTATGGTTTATGGTACTGTTACGCTGCAAGGGCCAAATGAACAGGCTGTGGAAATTACACAGGGGTGAGAAAGGCTCAGCATGGTGGGGGTGCAGAGGGTTAAGGAGAAGAAGGAGACATAAATTTAAACTTCCTGAAATTTCACTCCTGTGTTTGGTTTTTATTCCCTGCTCTAACAGATTGCTATCTAGAGACAACTAAATCAAGGGTTGGAAAGAATAACATCCATTTAGAATGATCCTGATAGAAGCGTCCTCTGCAGTTAAGGCAGTTTTATCTTCGCGTGTTCTCAGAGTGAGTGCTGCCATTGACTGTGACGGGAACATGCAGGCAGTTGCCCCCCTTACAGACAGAGCTGAGAAACTGTACTGGAGATGTGTGACTGGTGTGGAGGGAGATGAAAATGGTGTGAAGTGCTCAAAGCCAGTACAGTCAAGGAGAAAGGAAAGAATCACATCAGTAAAATGGAGGTTTGCCAGTGATACAGTTTGCCTTCTTTTCCTGTGTTGGATGTAACCTTCCTCTGTCCTCACTGCAGCCCCCACAGCTCCACACCCTATGGAGGTGCAGGACGCAGAGGCCTCGGAGTTATGCTGATCCTTTCCAGATGCAGGATGTTGTGGAGAGGTTCACATGGGTGAGTGTGCACCATCCATAGAGCCAGACAGGAGATTTTTCATCCTGTAATCATTCTAGACACAAATCAGTATTTAATTACTGAATGACGTACATTCTACCCAGCAATCTAAAACACATACCAATTTCTTCATGAAGCAGAGACAAGGCATCCCATTTGGAGCTGCCACATCCTATGTACATCTAGAGAAGCTGTGTGAAGGATCCTATGCAACTGTGTACAAGGACATCAGCAGGTGAGCAAGGACCACTGGTGCCATTATTGCCTTCCCAGTGCCCACTGAAAACACCCATTATGGGAATCCATAAGAATGAGGTTGAAGCTGGCCAATTCAGAGTACCTACAGGAAGATAAAAGCAAATAAAAACTCCACCTTTGCCTTTAACGAGAACATTTGCAAAGCCCTGTCCCAATTTTTCAGGGAACTCCTCCACTACAGCCATGGAGGCTCCACAAAGACACTTTGCTCCGCAGCAGCCTGCCAGGAGATTGTCTGTCTGGCTGCACCAGGGAGGGAGTGAGGGTTTTCCTTGGGATGAGGGATCCCTGCATGATGGAAAAATTGAAGATGAGGCCATGCTGCCATCCCATGGGAGCAGGAGAGCTGTGATAGGGCAGAGTGGGAACACTGCCCAAAGCCACGCTCTAGCAATGCCTGGTCAGCAGAACGGTGCTACTCTAGCCAGCTGGACTAGCTCATGTTTTGCTGATAATGAAGACAAGATGGACGTGGTTTGCAATTCCTTTCTGAGCTTGGCCTGGGTGGGGTAGTGAGCCCTAGAAATTTTTCTTGGGTAAGTGTGGAGCACCCCAGGAGACTGTTAATGTTGTTGTCATGCCAAGAACCGAGGGGCTTCGTGTGACCTTCCACTCTGACCTGACAGGATCAATGGCCCGTTGGTGGCACTGAAAGTGATCAGGCTGGAGGCAGAGGAGGGAGCGCCCTTTACAGCCATTCGGGAAGGTAAGACATGAAGAGCTTCTTCAAACATTGGTGGAGAGTGAGGGACATTATTCTTGAAGAGCATTTGTTTTAACCTGAAAAAGCTCCATGTGACATCTTCCTAAATCCTTTCTCACCTAATCAATGTGCTGGCTGTCCTTCATGCAAAACTCTTGGTTTCCTTATCCCCTCGTGAAGGAGGTCTTTGTGCTGGGCTGGGTGAGCGTGTGATGGACGGACGGGGAACCTGCTGTCGGTGTATTCCCTTGTGACAGATGCATTTGAGCTTGTGATAAGGAAAGTGCCAGAGCATGTCCTTTCTAGCAGCATACGGCCCTCTTACACCTCCTGCCTGGTACCTGCTCCGTAGTTGCTTTCTAACTCCCATTTCTATACACTAGCACTGCACAGCAGTTTTTGCCACAGTTGCACCGGGAAGTTTTGGACTGGAAATCCCTTTGCACCAGGATCTTCTGCTTGCTTTTATCACAAACGGTGCCACTTTCCTGTGTGATGGCAGTTGATACCTGGAGCATCACAGATCCAGGCCTGAAAATAAATGCTTTTGATAAAACTGGTGTTTAATGCCTTTCATCATTTCAGCCTGGTGAGAAATTCTTTCTGTTGGTTGGCTATAGAGCACAGGGCAAAATGTCTGCAGCTATTTATTTGAGAAATAAATGCTTTTGTTTAAGTGCTTGAGTTTGGCTGAATGTATTTACATGTCTCTATAGACCAAGTTCACAAGCTGCCTGTTTGACTAAGGCTTCTATTTTCGTCTGCTCTACAATCCCAAGAGGATCATAATCTGGTTTCTTCCTTGCACAGAAATATGCAACCTTTGTGCCAGTCTGTTGTCTGGTATTAGCAAGAGCTGTCAATGTAAGAGGTCACATATATTTTGTTTTCTACTTACTGCAGTTCAAGACAAGGTTTGATCTTGTCACTGCAGAGATGGAGTGTCAGGAGCCAGATGTGCCAGCTCTCACAGAGCAGCCCTAGCACAGAAGGACTCTCACACCAGTCAACTCAGAATAATGAGAGAGGTCAGTGGACCCGCTCCAGGTTTAGAACAGTGTCATTAAGATAAGAAAGTTTACAAAGTCCTTAGTCCAATTCTGGGTGAAAGCAGAGAGATACCTAAATATGCCTGTTTACAGAATGGCTTGTGTTACAGTTTCCTAGACATCTTTGCTGCGGCACTTTTGCTCTGCGTTTACACTTGTTGCCCACCAGTAAAATAAGTCTTAAAAGCTTTATCTACATAGAACTAATGATGCTCTAAAGATCAGCACCCCTTTAACATGCTCTACTGGACAGGCTGAGAGCCTTAAGTTCATTCATTACGGGAGAAAACAAGTGTGATCCTATGAAGGGTCTACTTTAAATAGATCTTTTGTGTACTGCTGAGCTTTGCAGCATCTGACACCTCAAATTTACAATGCAAGTCAGTAGCACAAACAAAGCACAAGATTTATTAACGCAGTGCTTTCTCTGCTACCCTGGAGGAATGGCACTCCCCCGACAAAGAGCCGCTTCACCCCAGAAAGCCCCACAGAGTCGAAATGCGTTGAAAGCTCAGTTCTGGCTGTAGCACCTGACAACCCTGCAGGGGGTTGTAGAAGCAACCAAGTGAGGTGCAGTTCCCAGAGGCCTGATCCAGGCACAGGGGCTGAAATCTCCACATTACCGTGGACCCTCTGTACTGCTCCTCTGGAGCAACAGCTCTCATCGAGCGGGATTTCTGAGGCATCACAGGGCCAGGTTAGCAGCCCCTTTCCATAGCAGATGGGTCTAGCCAGAGCATCTTTACAGGGTTCATAGGCAATTGGGTGCAATGTGGACTGGGACTGTGTTTAAGATTCGTACTGCTGTGTGCTGGAAACATACTGGTGGTAACTAAATGGACTAGAGGCAGTTTAGCTGCAGCAGCAGCAAGCTCTATTCAAGAACTAATTTACAATCTGTGCTGTTTCCAGTAGTTATGCTGAATCAGGCATCTCTTACTCCTTAGCAGTCTCAATCCTGACATATGCTTGGGCCACAGCTGTGTAAATACAGTGTATCTGCAGGCTGCAGGGCTTTTAGAACCAGATGAAATTGTTATGGTCACAAAAGGCAAAATGCTAATCCAGTATAAAGTTGTTTTTGCTAGCATGAAACTCTTCAAATATCTTTTGCAGATTGTTTGAAAAACAAAAAGCAGCTTTTATCCAGGACCAAAATTCATTTGGCCTCCCACAGCCAGCCTAAGCTCTGTATTGTCCACTTTGGCTAATTCAGCAGAAATGAGATTGTATGCCCATGCCTTACGTGATTGAAATCTGTAGCACTGCGTGGTCTGACAGTAAACTAATTTGGTTTTAATCAGCAGGGAAAGGTGACTCTGGAGCAGCTATGAGGCTATTCTGCTACGTCAGAAGCTAAAGTCTGGAGTTGGGGACCCATGTTTTTGTTGAGCTTTGGGGTTTCTGTCTGTGCAGTTTCAGTATGACAGCTGGCTCGGATTCTTCAGCAGAGCCAGAGATCTACAGGCAGAGTGATCCCAGCTTCACCACTTCCCCGTGTCCCTCCTCTGTACAGAGCTACAGCAACTCTTGTCTCAAACCTATGGCAGCAAATGATAGAGCTGTGCATGCTCTCCCCCCATACAGACTGAGACTTTCTGCTGAGAAGCTGCCTTCATGAGTGTGCTGGCTGGAGCCTGCTCTATCATAAGAAACCTAACGCAAGGCTGAAAGGCTCCGAAGGCTGTAGCTTTTGTCCTAGCATCAGTCAGTGCTCTGTGGTCTATATGGAGGCAGAGACTATTGTGCGTGCTGCAGTCTTCATCACCACACCTGAGATGTGCTGAGGCTTGGCAAAGGCATGTCAGCACCTAAGGACCAGGGCCACACAGTCGCTATTATGCTGTTAGACAGCTACGCTGAAAGAAAAAATGTGCCAAAGTTGTATAAATACAAACGAGTCACTGTTCACTCAGTAAGTTTATCATCTGCTCTTTGAGTTTTACACCAGAGAAAGTAACCAATATGCTTTCTCCAAGCTAAAAGCACGAGCAAAATTCAGAATTCAGCTTAGCTTCTATGGTGATTTCTTCTGGCAGATTTTTACACCCTGATATTGTGAAGCTGGAAGATGGCAGAAACTCAGCTTTCCCCAGAAGTCTCCTAAGGGCTCTGCTGAGGGCACATGCTAGGAGGTGGATGGAGGAAGTATGAGAAGCTCAGTGACAGGCTGGGGGCTGCTGCATTCTGGCTCTGAGAACTCCTAGCCCCTGCCTCGTAGCATGTGCCTTGAAGAAATTATTTTTCCTCAGCTGAGAAGCTGACAGCTGGGACCTGTAAACTGCTATTTCTGACAGAGGCAAGATCCCACCTCTGAGAGACTGATGGGTTCCTGATGGAGCATTGATGCTTGCTTCTCCAAGGAGCTGTTCCATCCTCCTCCAGACTCAGTAGCTGCTGCTTACAGAATTGCCAAGTTTGGACTATTTCTCCACAGTTTTTTATTTTCACTGCCTTGCTCTGTGCACTTTCTCTCTCCACCTGCAGCAGCAGCAGCAGTTAAATTCATCTTCCTTTTGTAGTTCCTCATCTTCTTTTCTCAAGCGTTTGAAACATGCCAATATTGTACTGCTTCATGACATTATCCAGACCAAAGAGACACTAACATTTGTCTTTGAGTACATGGTGAGTTGATCTTCTTCTAGCTTCCTGCGGAGGTAGTACTGGGAAGTGGCTGCATAATGAATTTACTGCATTATGAGACATCTACAAAGAAATGAGTTGTAATCCTTTAATGCAATGATTGATTTTGCTTCTTGATCTCCTGCTTTCCAGTCACACAGCATTCCTGTTTTCTTTCTGTATATGCGACAGCTGTATGCAAAAATTATTCCACATCTTGTCTCCACTAGGGTGGCAGACACTATTTGCCTCCATTTCTGCCTTGACAACACAATAAAAGTACTGTTCTTGAGCCACAGCAAGGATAGGAAAGACTGATACAAGCTCACATCCCAGTTGGGGTCAGAGTTGGCACTGACCCCAGTGGCTCACCATGACCACGCTGCAGGTTGCTCCAATGGGGAGGGCAGGATGCCAGTAAAAGAAGTTCTCAGCATGAGTCTTGCTACTTCTGTTGCTTTTGCTCATAGCTATCAACCAAATTATAAGGGAAGTACAGGGGCTATGTCTTCTTACCGCAGCTTTATGATTAATTCTGGTACAAGTATGAATTCTGTAAACTGTCAGCTTCAGGTTATAAACTGCTAGGGTGAGATAACAGGTCAGCCAGGTCCCTGATTTGACCCAGCACTTAAGCACATCCTTGTGTGCTGCATCAGATCAGATGTTTGTCAAGGTAAAAGAAACACTTTTGTGGTGGTTGCATTTTTTTTTTTTTTCCATTTACAGAAGAGGCACTATTGGGAGAAGCATTTCACACTAGTAGCTTTGCCTCAAGTTCTCCTCTTTTATTTAGCCCACAGATCTAGCACAGTACATGGGCCAGCATCCTGGAGGACTTCATTCATGCAATGTTATGGTGAATTCTTTAAAAGACTAGTATCCCTTAAAGCATGAGGAAGTGTTACTTACAGTATGTTATTGTAAATTGCTTACTAATATTTATTTTTTCCATATATAACAAACACTTTGGAGAAAAGCTGCCTTTGATAAAGATCTAACAACCTCCCTCTTAGTCCCCAAGCCTTTTTTCGGTTAGTCTCTCTTTCCATTTTCTGAGCCTGCAAGAGGAAATTCAGCTTTTGTGAACAATGACATCTTGTGGCAAACAAAATCTGTCTCTATGCAAATTTGCATCCTCTTATTGTTAGAATACATTATTAATCTCTCTAATTAAAAACTCACATCTCACTCTTCCCTCACCTGGAACTATCTTCATATTTACAATCATTTAAATCCCTTTTGTTTCTACTACAGCTTTTTGGGATCGGTTGACTGGACCTGAGCACAGGTGAAGACGTACCCTTACTTTGTAGATTGAGTCTCCTACTCTCCTTTGTATGCATCTTCACATGTAATTAACTTTCAGGATTGTTGCTGTACACTGACTTAAGGTTTCAGTGCAGATGTCCTCAGTGAATGTTTGGGTCCTTTTTGTGAGCAGCTTCAGTTAATTTATCTTACAGCTGTCAACAATAACTTTGTACCTTATCAAACTGCCTATTCATCTCACTTTGTCAGATCTGCCTGAAGTTCCTCATTGTCACTTCTTATCATGGCTAATCTAAGTACTTCTGTCATCTTCAAATGTTGCCACCTTGTTCACATCTTTTTCCAATAGTTGTTAAGCAACATCAATCCTAATGAAGTTTCTTGAGGCCCCAGATTTTAAACATCCTTAAAGCTCAGATGTGTCCAAGATGCAGTCTTGTAGTTTTGGCACAGATCTCGAGGGCTCCGCTACCAGGCGGGCTTGTAAAGCCTGTGGAGTACATGGCTGTAACATGTACTCATTGGCATTTCTGTGAGTAAACACTAGCCAGCTGCTCTGCTTTCCTGTCTGAAATCCTCATTGTCAACTGCAAAATGATTTAATGCTCCTTTAGGAGCCTCATCCAGCTTGCTTCATTTTTGCTGGCAAACGTTGTTTGTTTTTTCTTTGACTGATTCCTGTTGAATATGATGCAAGTATGCAGAATATTATGGGGATGCTTTTCTGGTACAAAAATGACCTATGGGTGTCACTGTTTTTCCTCCTCGTCAGCTGAAGCTTCTGCTGAAAAATATATTTTCTCTAGTGAAGTCTAATTACTTTTGCTGTGGTTTTTTTCTGTCCACTCTCCAAGTCCATACCTTGTTTCAGCTCAACTTATTTTACCCCAGGCTTATTTACACTGGTGGTGGGAGTTAGGTATTTCCTTCTTGCTTGCTTTCTTGCTTGCTTTTCTACTTTCTGTCTTGCTTGCTTCATTCATCATATCTTATTTACTATATCTGTTCAAATCAGGTCCTTGTGTTTTCTCCCAGCTTGAAGATAACAGTTCACTTTGTCAAGTCGGTTCACTGGTCGGGCTTATCCTGGGAGGAGGTGGTGTGTACAGCGGCCCCAGAACTCCCTCTGCTGGTGTCAGCTGCCTCAAATGGGCAGAACTTCCAGCTCCTTAAACCTTCGTTTTGCTTGGCTGTAGTTCTTTGTCTTGAACACTGAAATCAGAATATATGCTGTTCTGAAAGCCGGGTCTGTGTTTTGGCAAGTTGAGCTTGTTCCTGCAATCAATAGTCCATTTCTAAAGAAAATGTAAATTTCCAAAATGTGCACTTAGGGACTGCAGTATAACTGCCCTCATGGCCAAATATTCCACCCCAAAAACCTCAGAAGGCTGCAGGGCAGTCATACCCCACCACAGTTTTCTCTTCCTCAGACAGCTCTGTTCATTTTTGGGATTTTTACTGGTTTCCTACTTGCTTTGTGTCTGCTTTGTTCCAGGAGTTCTCCTGAAGTTCAGAGTTAATGTATCAATGCAAAGTCACGCAAAATCATTTCAGTTTTTTGTTGACTTTTTCTAGCTCTTCATGTTCCAGCTTTTGCGTGGCCTGGCTTACATCCACCAACAACACATTCTTCACCGTGATCTGAAACCCCAGAACTTGCTCATCAGTTGCCTTGGTGAGCTCAAATTAGCTGACTTTGGTGAGTCACAGTTTGGAAACTGCTAATATATCTGCTCAGATCAAAGCTGTAGCATGCATATAGATCTGCATCCACAGCCAATTAAGGCATAGAAGCATAACCTCTTACTGAACTTCAGGAAACTATTTCTGTGGTCAGTCCAGCCTTTCTTGCATTTATACTGATATGTGCAGGGAGTAACTTCATTTAAGTCAGAGCAATTACTGCCACATAAAACTGGTTCAAGAGAATTGAGAATAAACCCCTCTCTGTTGAGAAAATAATTTAACATGTAGAGTCCACAGCAATGTGCTGAACCAAAAGGCTTTCTTGGCATTGGTGTGGGATGGCTGCTTCAGTCACAAATTGTAAAGCCCTGCAAAACACAGCATATGGCTTGATCTGATTTGCCCCAGAGGCATACTCCAGACACACTTTCTTTGTCAGTCGCTTATAAACTGCATTGGGATTGCTTATGTTTAAAGATCCAAGAGAAAATAATGTCCTGTTGCTAATTATTATCGTCTATGCCTTGAACAGGTAGAAAGCCTGTCCTAACACAGCAGTCTTTTTTTTTTCTTCTTTTTTTTGCAGGCCTTGCTCGTGCCAAAGTCTATCCCCAGACAGACATATTCCTCTGAAGTGGTGACACTCTGGTGCCGTCCTCCTGATGTGTTGCTTGGAGCTACAGATTATTCTTCTGATCTAGATATCTGGTACTGACCACTTTCAAAGCATGTGGGATCCCTTGGGAAAAATCATCTTTATCTGAATTAAATTAGGTCAACCAAGTTACAGTAGATACAGTCGTAAGCAGAGGAATTAACATGAGCAGAAAATGTGTGAGCAGCGGGGAGTTTTGTACGGCTGGGTTCATAGAAGTTTTTGGAAATGATGTCACTACATCTCAGCTATGGATTTATATAAACCTCATCAGATAATATTTATGAGCTATGTACATCTCATTTGGTAACATTTATGAAGCATTTTCAGGTCTTGCAATAGAACACCTTTGCTTAATGCACTTATTGTTTTGTACCTGTGTGATCAGCTCAGTCAGTGGCAGCTCTCTGCAGCAATCGCTTTATGAAGAAACAATGGATCCACAACTGCATCAACAACGACTTTGGCCTTGGTAACAAAACATGGCATTAAGGGGTTTCTGAATGGGTCTGGAGATAGAAGTCTGAGATTTTCATTATTTCTGTGATACTTTGTCCTTCTCAAAGACCATATCTCAGATGCACTCTGCATTTCATACAGGAGAAGGGCTGTGTTCTGTTAAAGCCTTGTAACTTTATGAGCTCTATCCAAAATCCTAATGTGCCTGAAAATCACAGGAAGCAAGCCACACATCAGCAGAGCTGGAAGGAGAGAGGTCTCTAAGAGCTAGCTGAAAGCAGGAGAGGATGAGGGCTTCACAGGGGTCCCACTGGTCCTTTTGGGCTAGCCTGGATATGTAGCTGGGCTCTAGAGTTCATCCGCCTTCTGGCTCACTTCTGCACCAGCCTGAGCCTGCTTCCAGGACCACAGTCCTGAGTTATTCATGGACAGCATGCAGCTCATGAAGTTGCAGGAGACCACCCTCATTCTGGGCAATTTTACATCTGTAGACAGTATTGCTGCTTCACCCTTTCTTCAGGTCAGTTCATTTTCTGCCTGTGCCTGTCACACCAGGACTTTTCTTAACTGCTCTGCAGAGTCAAAGGCTGGGAAGGGGTGAGAGCACAGCAGGCTGAAGAATGTGCAAGAAGAGAGCTAAGTAAGTTTACAAACAGCAAAGCTCCAGGTCTTCTCAGACTGTGTTACCCTCCAGAGATCTGTGGCTTATCAGAGATTCCGATGGCCTAAGTCTGGAGGGCAGTTCAGGGAAACAGGAGTTTTTAGTTCACTTCCCTATGCCTGCTGCTAATTTAATTGCTTAAGGATTTCTCTAAGGAGGAAGACCTTGCAAAATTCTAATGGCTTCCAGCTGCTAAGGCAGTCTAAACAGTCATCTTCTCTCCCCCACTGCCCACCACCTCTCCCTTCCAGACAGTCTCTCAGGATCGTCTGCTGAGTCTGAAGAAGATGCCTGCCTAGCAGACTGGAGAGTGTGTATTAGGCAAATGCTGGTATAAGCCTGTTTGTTTGTCTGTTTGTTTTTTCAGAAAGTTGTGCCCTGTCCAAAGCCCCAGCTACGCACAGAAAGCCTGGCATTTCTGCCTGTGCAAAACCAAGATCCCCACTACATAACTCTGCTCCAGTGTAATGAGTAGCAACATAGGAGCGGTTTACAAAGATCCCGTGCAGCACTCTGACCAGCTCCAGCAGCACAGTACTCTCAGTCCCGCTGCACTACATTCACACTATAGGCACCTTTGTTATAACACCTCCTTATAATAACAACATTCAAAGTGTTTGCCCTAAAGAAAGATGTCATGCTGAGAGAATACAGAGTACTTCAGGGAGCTCTATTCAGTAACTTCCTCTAACAAGAATCATTTATTATCTTGATGTACACTGCATTTAAGTTCAATTTTTGTCTATTAGGAAATAATGTGAATTCACACAGATGTTACTTGTCTATTGGGAAGAAAGGGAAAAAAACCCTATGTCTTTTGGATGCTGCAATTTACATGAAGGCAGGTCAGAAAGCCCTTGGTAATGGCATGAGACAGTGGGTGTTAAAGCCTTGGTTTAAAGAAACCAATTATAACAAAATAAAACATTACAGCAATTCATGCATAGTGTGCTTGAGCAGCAATACTGTCAGTGGGAGGCACATGGGAAGTGAATGAGGGATTGAATAGATGAAGAAAGAGATACAGAAGGAGACTCAGTTGCTCTTGGACTAACTAGAAAAGCTGCTTTCATCTCTCTGTATCTTTTTTCTCTGTCTTTTTCCCTCACTATTTCTTCAGGACTTTAGAAGATTCAATTAAGGGATTTCAGGGAGACTAACATTTCAGGGAGATTACACTGCATATCAGAAAGACTTTTCTTTTTTTTTTTTATACACCAGGTGCCTTATGCATGTGCCACACTAGTAGCTGCTAACATCATGAGTACCTTAACTCACGTCTTCTTTTCAGTCAGGCTTTCCTTGTACAATATTCCATTTAAAAAACCCCAAACAATATATATTTCTGGTTAAATATAAAATTGCAATCTCACAATGCCAGAAAAGCTGTCGAGAGGCAACTCTGGGATGCCGCGGAGATATCTTAGATCTTAATCTTGATGAAGTTGTCTCTCCACTGTGTGATGCAGCACTGCAGGCTCAGGAGTAAGTACAATGTTCAAACCTGCCCCAGGGACTGCAGGCAGATGCAACCGTGCTGTCTGAACCAGCTCTGTTCATGCTTACTAAATACCCCTATAACCAGTTATACCTCTCTTATTACTTGATTCACATGCATATCTAGCACATGCTGAAATATCATGTCTTCCCAAAAGACCCCTCCCTCTGTCCTGGCTCTTCCCAAGGCAACTACATGGGACTGAGACCCTTTGAGAAACTTGTAGACTTGAAGGGGTAAGAGGACCTTAGAAATGAATATCAGAGGGGAAAAGGGAAAAGCAAAACAACACTAGGTCTAAATCTTTAGAAATATTTAAAGGTGAATGTTTTTGAATAATCCACATAAACAGAAGGATCCTCATAATGCTTTCAGAGCAGTAACTGTAAATCCCGTATCTCAGAAGGAAAGTTGAAGCCTCTACTGAAAGGCTAGTATGATGACTAGCACTAGTTTCAAAGTCCTACTTTAACAGATAGAAAAAATACCTGGGAAAAGAGGGGGTTGCCCATGCATCAGTTGTTCTAGGTATTTATGGCCTTTTTTTTTTTTTGTAAAGAAAAGTGTATTTCATCTGGAAACACACAGAGACAGAAACAGTCATAATTGCCACTGATGAATCAATACAGTATCAAGCAGGCATTAAACGCAGCTGCTCAGCTGAGTCTTGCTACAGGAAACAAAAAGCCCTTCTTTTCCAGCAGTTGTGGTTGCTCTGATAGTTGTGTCTTTATTAGAGACACTGAGGTTTAAAGGCTTCCAGACATAATGGGATTAAACCAGGAATACAAAAGAGCTCTGCCAGAAGGTGTATTTGTAACAACCCTCAAGTTGTTCCTCTCCTCAAACTGACAGCTTGCCCATTAGTGAAAAGACTGTTTCATTAAATTTGAATTTTTTTAACTCTGCTCATGAGAGTTAAAATGCTAGCTGAATCTAGGGGAACAAAAAACAGTTTTCTCATTCTTACTTCCATTTATTGCTCTGTCTGGATTTCAAGCCTTCTCAGCAATGACAGAAACCACAGCAGATCTGGTTTTCTGTTTGCCATGAACTCAGTTGCCTTAGACCTTTGCAGCAGAGCAGTTAGGTCACAAGGACCACATTTATAGGTCACTTTCACTGTTACTAGCCCCTCTTCCTTCGTTACTGCTGTGTACCTCCAGCTGTGTCCCCAAATCCTTAGTGCCTTACATTCAGCTTAGGAAACAGCACAGGCAGCCCTGTTCATTAGAAAGGATCTCTGTAGAAGGTCTAGTTGCATGTCTCATTTGGGGGCTGTAGAGAGTCCACATGAAGTTTCTGCTGTTGCCACTCTAACATCAGAACCAAACCGTGGGTGAACATCAGGATCATTTGCTCCACAAACACAGAGCTGATTCTCTTCTCTCTACAAATCAAGAATACCTAAATTGCTTTGACTGTATTCAGTTAAACTTGTGAAATTGAATCAGTGGGTTACAGCAGCCCCTGTGGTTGCAAAATAGGGTAAGCCATTTGGGGATGTACATCAGCTGTGAAAACAGAGGGTTGGTATAACACTGGTCTCAGTAGAATCAATCTGTGGGCTCCAAAAGAATATCTAGTCATGTGGTAGTGCTGTGAAACACACACAAAAAAATCTATGTCACAAAAGCTGTGGGTTAAGTTTCATGATGCCTGGACGCTGTAAGAGCATATTAGACAAGTAAGAAGCTAAGCTCACAAGACCCAGGGTCAGGGTACAGCAAGCTAAGGGAAAAGTGCAGCAGAGATGTTTGTGAGAACAGCATTAGATATGGATCTGCAAACTGTTTTGGCATCAACTGATGCTCAAGGATGACCAACACGAATACCGCAGATGAGTTGCATGTCCAGCTTTCAGCTGACCACAGCCAGGTGGGAAAAGCATCTCCAGTATTGCAAAGACAAGGCGCAAGGGGTAACTCAGCCGTACAGATAACCAGAAGAGATTACTCCTTGTAGCTCAGCAAGTGAAAATAATACTTTCAGAGTCTGTTAGACAAAGCTGGGTTTTCAACATCTGAGGTTAAAGGACTCTAATTTGCTATAACCAAAGAAAATTTGGTGGCCTTCTACGACAGAGCCATAGCGCTGGTGGATAAAGGAAAGGCAACTGACATAATCTGCCTGGACTTGTACAAAGCCTTTGACACAGTCCCACATGACATCCTTGTCTCTAAGTTGGAGGGACATGGATTTGACAGAAGGACCACACGCTGGATAAGGAATTGGCTAGACAGCCGCACTCAGAGAGTTGTGGTCAATGGCTCAATGTCCAAGTGGAGACTGGTGACAAGTGGTGTTCCGCAGGGGTCGGTACTGGGACCAGTGTTGTTTAACATCTTTGTCGGAGACATGGACAGTGGGATGTTTTTGAGCAACCTGGTCTAGTGGAGGGTGTCCCCGCCCATGGCAGGGGGGGTGGAACTCTATGATCTTTGAAGTCCTTTCCAACCCAAACCATTCTATGATTCTATTATTCTATTCTATGAAAATTGAGACTGAAACCTGAAAAGATGGGAAGGAGCTTAGTGAAAAGACAGGAAACGTAGAAGAAGTTTGGAGGAAAAAGATTAAAAAGTGAGCCGAGTTTTACACTATACAGTAAGAGATGGAAATACTCGCAAATAGGTAAATCTACTCTGACAACAACTCTCTCATCATTATTGTCAGCAGGACTAACCCACATTAGAAAAATCAAGCACTTTTTGCAGGGTTTGCTGGGGTTCTTTTAAACTGGCTGGTTTGCTTTGGCACAGGTGTAGAGCAGAGGATGGCACAAAAATAAGAGTACTTTAACTTGCTGTTGTCACAGAGTTCTTTATGCTATGAAATCTTGCCTTCAGTTTTCCAGTGAAGGAAAATTGCTTCTGAAGGAAAAATTACTCTATTGGCTAGTGCCTCTATGTTCTTTCTGCATCTAATGTATCATTCAGCTACTGTGTAGTAAGTACTTCCCTCTATCTTTCCCACTGTCATCACTCCAATTTTGCACCTTTTTCTCATGGAAAACAATCTAGTATTCCACAGGCTTCTGCCACAAACATCTTTTTTAGACAGGTTTGTAACAGGATAAATTGAAAGAGACCTGAAACAAATTGTTTGGTGCTGGAAAAAAAGATGATGCTCAGTGGGTTTCTTTTCAAAGGATATCACTTGTCTTGTCATGCTGGTGAAGGGTGGGGTTTTTTTGTTGGATGGTGCTGATGAGAAAAAGGAGATAGGAACAGACTTGCATGGAACTTAGACTGCTTTATTTTTGTCTAAAATACTGGAGGGATGTGAATGTGACAAATCTCTAGTCTGCTTCTGTCCTCTTTGACTTGTCACCTTTTTAATTCAAGTGTTTCAATCTGTAGGACTTGGATGAGTTTAATGATACTACATACAACTTGCAACAAGGGCCAGTTGCAAGCGTTTAGAACAGTGCTGCAAGACAAAGGATGTATAAGACGGCCCTTCCCAGAGGAAACCTTCCTGACTTCCCACAGTTGGTAGGGTTTTTTATAATGCTACATCCTGCCTACCACCACTATACTGTAGAAGTGTATCAGCCTTCACTGAAGCCTGTTATTATTTGCATATATACAGACATCCCACATCCTGCTTTGCTTCACACACACACACACACACACACACACGCTCTCTCTCACTAGATGACATGAGGTGGGTATACAATAGCTGCACATCAGACTGGTATTTTCAGACTTGAGCTGCAGAATATATAGGGTTTACAGCTCATATCAGGATTTCTGCATTTACAAATCAGGTTTTCTGAATTTTAATTCCAACAATTCTCTCTCTTCCTTTCTCCCCTGCCCATCCCAACAATCATATTATATATATCCTGTATATGAGTGAGTTGATACCTTTGGTTTCTTGCAGGAGTGCAGGCTCAATATTTGTTGAAATGATCCAGGGACAGCCAATATTTGCAGGAACTTCTGGTACTCATGAACAGCTGGTGAAGATCTGGGCGGTAAGTAAAACATACCCTGAAATGGGAGAGAAAAAGAACCTGTTGCTCCAGCCACCTACTTAATTTTGAAGTCCTAAGCATAGGTCCTGTGAATAGCAGAAAGAATTTGGTCCAGTCTGCCACGTTCACAGCAGACTTTGTAACCCACTTTATATTTAGCAACTTTCTTACAGACACAGGAGTAAATTAAATGACTTTCCTTTGACGTTTGTCATCTCATCAAAAATTTAAAGCCAATTAAAGTGACATCAAATTGAAGAAGGCATAAAAGGTGTGCAGGTACTGCAAATTCTATTCCTTCTTGTTAAATCCTTTACTTACTGTAGGATACAGCTTACCATATTCTCACAAAGGAGCTCTAATACTACTCTTAAACTACCTTGAAAATGGCAAAACTCTGTGGTTTTTCAGAGATCCTTCTACATTTTAACTCAGAACATTTTGTATCATCTAGTTTATGGTGCAGCCCTAGAGACTGCTTTGGCATAATGGAAAGTGTGAAATTACTTTATAAGGGCAGCAGTGAGTGAGAGCAGACATATTCAGGAGTCTCTTAAGCCGCTTTTTCTGCTGGGGAAACTGAAACATAGAGCCATGTCCTTAGTGTGGCTTGCTAGAATTGAGGCAGTTACCAGCAGCAGCAGATTCTGTACATTCCTTACTGCTTGTTGCTGATGCTGTTCTGACAGGACAGTCAACCTATAGATTCTTGCTGCATTTTGCTGTAGGTGTCTGCCCTTTCACATTTCATCCCAGGGATTTACTCTTCTGCAGAGAGTGTTTCCCAAATGTGGATTTTCAAAGGAAAAAGTACAGAAAACTGAAATTTGGAAAGTGGTGAGAAAGGACTTTATAGCCTCAAGTCTGTCTAAGTCAGATTTTTCCTTCTTAATCCCTTCATCCACAAACACTCCTGCCTGGTAGGGTTTTCCTCTCTGCTTTTAGCTAGAGTGCGATAAAAAGAAAGACAAGTGGGTCGTTCTTAGCTTCAGTTCAGTCCATTTAAATAAATGCCAAATTTGTCTTTCATAGAGAGTAGGAAAAAAAAGGAATTATTGAGGAAAAAAACCAAACTTGGCCAATTAACAGGGTTCAAAGCCAGGGCAGGGCCCCATTTCCCAAGGTGTGAATGAAGGGTATCCTTCCACTTATGGCTCTGAAATCTCTGGATACATTTCCTGTGGTTTTGCAGTTGGAGGGTTATAGCCCTATCGTCATTTCTCTGGTATTATAACTAATACCATGATTAATAGGATTTGTGCTATAGAGGGCAAAAAAAACTTATTTAAAAATCATGAAGCTTTAAGAGCCATGAAATAATTAGTGCCTTTCACATAAGGTTTTATGTTATTATACAGCCTGGAATGAGGCTCTGTGTTAGGCCAAGATTTCAAAGCTCCTTAGAGGCTTTCAATGCCTAACTTGAGATATTTTGCTGAGTGTGAGGTTCAGAAGGGGGATTCCTACTGTTTCCTAATAGTCAGTTCCTTTCATGTACTAATAACAGAGGCACCCTGCCCTGGTTTTGAGACCGTCTGCATCTGTGGGCATGTGTCTGTATCACCCAGCATGCTTACCCCCACGTAGGAGTGTTGGTTCAAACTCCTCATAGATATATAGCTGGAAAATCCCTATTCTGTGAAATGTGTCTGTCCAGATGCATCATCAGGACTGACTGTCATTTTATCAACATTTCTTCTAGAGGCAAGTGCTACCTTAAGCAGGCGGCATCTCCCATCTCTATCCCTGGCTGCTCATTCCT